GGCCCGGAGCCGCGAGCCCCTCCCCCGTGATGTGAACCGGGGGGGTGGAAACAGAGATGCCCCGGCCCACCCAGGGCCCGAGAGTGCTTCAGTCACTCACTGCTCCCCACGGCCCCTCACCCCACTCAGACTCACCCAAGGACCCCTAGCATCAGAACCCAGGAGTCCTGGGTCCCACCCCCTGCTCTAATCCACCAGTTCCCCACCCCCCCGAGCCAGGAGAGAACCCAGGAGTCCTGGCTCCCCCACCCCCCTGCTCTAACCCACCAGCCCTGCCCCCCCTGGCTCTGACCACTAGACCTCGCTGCCCTTCTGGCCAGGTCGTGCCCAGCTCGCACCGTGGATGACGAAGAGCTCAGCTGAGTGGGGGCAGGTGAAGGTGGCGTCAGCGCCCGTGATGCCCAGCTCCTCCTGCAAGTCGCGGGGGTAGCCCTGCACCAGCGTGTAGCCTGGGCCCACCCGGTAGATGTAGACCTGGGAGCCCTGCAAGGCACACGCAGACCGGTGGGGTGGGGGGCGCAGACACGCCAATGGCCCCTGCTGAGGTGCTCCCTGAACGCCCACCGGGGGGGGGGAGACAGACACCCCAGCCCCTGCCCTGCCCTGGGGGGGACCAGACACCCCAGCCCCCGCCCTGCCCTGGGGGGGACAGACACCTCAGCTCCCGCCCTGCCCTAGGGGGGACCAGACACCCCCAGCTCCCGCCCTGCCCTAGGGGGGACCAGACACCCCAGTCCCCGCCCTGCCCTGGGGGGGACAGACACTCCAGCCCCTGCCCGGGAGGGGGGACAGACACCCAACCGCCGCCCTGCCCTGCGGGGGGACAGACACCCCATCCAAGCAGGCCCTGAGCCGGACACCCTGTTGTGAGTTGTCCACACAGCTGGGCGTGGCCAGAACACCCCCCCCGCCCCAGATTACCTGGATCAGGTAGAGCTTCTTGTCCCAGTTGAAGGCGCTGTCCACCTGCCCGCTCAGCTCCTGCCACGTGTGGTTGAGCGGCCACGAGTGCCAGCCGTCCCGCTTGGAGTCCAGGCGGAAGTACTGCCCCCCTAGGCCGGGCGAGAACACACTGCTCTGCATCGCTGCCCTGGGGCAGGGCAGGGCAGGACAGGGGGGCTCTGGGGCCGCTCAGCAGGGGCTGACTCCGACCCTGGACCATGGCTGGGATGTCCCGGCCTTACCTGGAACCAGCAGCCGAGGGGCAGGGGTTTGCCCCCCAGACAAGGGGGGCCTATGGGGTGGGACTCCAGGGAGCGACCAGACCAGGGGGTTGATGGGGAGCGGTGGGGCTCCGGG